ACCCCAGAGATCTGGGTAGACACACATTGTTAAGAGTTTTGTTTATACATGGCCTTGGTATCATTACTACCTGGGTGATGCAATTGTTTGTTATGTCAATGATGATATCAAATGTATCGCATAATAATCATAATCATCATGAATATTTGATGGATGGAGGCATTCACATACAAGGAAATGAAAGAAATGATTAAATAGCTAAGTCACGTTTGTTTTATTAAAGACATATGATTAATTATATTTACAATATACAATAAAAAAATTCCAAGACTGCACCCACACGAAAAAATAATCAAGTATGCAATTATATATGTTAGATCAACCACTAGGCCAGCTTTATTATGCACAAATAAATTAGGGGAGGATTTGCTCATCTATAATGTCCTGAAATTTACCAGTGATATCTCGAGATCGGGAACTCATCCGAACATTCCTAAATTCTTTATTGTGCCAAAAATGCACAACATTTATTCCCTTCCCTGTAGCTCGTCAGAAGGCCAATATGGATCTAACACAATAGAATCCTCTCGAGAGAAATGTACAACCCAAACTTCCCGAGGGCAAATTTGCTCAGCATACTTAAAAACCTGTTCGAAATGTTTCTTCGACCCTGGTTGCTATAAGTTCCACTAAAGCTACAGGGTTGGGCTCAGCATTCTTTTTTATTGTCAGATCAGAATAAAGATGGTGCCAGCCTCCATCTTCGCAGACTTGCTCGAGATGCCACTAGCTTGTAATTTCAAAGTCATGATCTTTTGCCAGCCAATTCATAAAAATTCGATACATTTCTATATCGTAGACACACTATTTTGGAACTTTTTTATTGCACTTAGTTTCAACTCGCAAATAATTCGAACTTTTATAAGAACGGGTCGAACCAAGTGCAATTGCATTCTGATCAAAAGTACATCCGGCCAATTTTAACGTCTCGAGAACATCTAAAGATTCATCCGCTCGCAAAGGTGCATCTACTCCAAGAAAAAAGAATCTGTATTTTGTGATTGTGCATTGCTTTTCTTTGGCGAAAGTTCCGTTATATTTTCAGCCTTTCGTTTTTTTCTCAACATAACCAATGGCAATAGTGACGATGACGATGATGATGACGATGATGATGGTGATGACGACGACGATGACGGTGATGGTTTAGACTTGATAGCTTTATCCCATAAGCTACTTACTTTTTTAACATCAGCCTATTGAAGGCAAAATTGGGTGAGAAATATTTCTCAATAAGCATAATCAGACAAAAAAATAAAGATTAGATGGCGGATGCAGGAATATTTCAATAGTTAAATTTTTGTTGACATAAAGGAAAGTACATAACCAACTCCTTCTCCAGACCAGTAGACCTTTATCAAAAACTTATATTGGAAGATTCCATAAAGTTTACTAAGGCGAATTTAATAAACGCATCCAATTCAACACTTGTAAGAGTTGACATACTCCACTCCCATTAAGACGAATTTAATAGGTACAAGCACCTGGCTGTGCCTCATCTGTCTAAATTTGTTATTCTTATTATACTTACTTTTCTCGGCGTGCTCATAGTTATTGATGATTAAATTAACGTAATGCTGAAGAGACCACCTTTCACATGGAAAAAATTCGAAATATTTGTCATATGGGATATTTTCAGTGTTTTCTCGAACGAGGCAGATAGAAGTATTATTTGCAAGGAAAGTATGGTTGAAAATCACTTACAGTCTATAAAAATCAAAAGAGACGCGTTAAGTCCACTAAAAACGCGTCTTAACAATCAGATGGTCGTACAGTTATGCATACAGAATACCTATTCCAGTTAATGTAGATGATGTAGATAGGTTTAGTGATTGATTTGTTAGTAAATGTAAGAATATATAAAAATATGAATAAAAAATTGTATATACACGGTGAGTCTCGGTTTAGCGGATCTCTAATAAAAGTCTCTGTTTAACGGATAAATGCTCAGAACCGCCTATAAGTAAATCGTCTCGGTTTAACGGATTTACTAATTAAATCTTGAATTAATTTCGGTATAACGGATTTTTGAAATTTTTTGTTCCAATTTCCCAAATTGTCCGCTAAACCGAGATTCACTGTGTAGCAAGCAAACAGAATATTTCGTAAAGTTTTCATGAAATCGATATACTGTCCTTTTTAAACCGTTTTCGCTCATCTCTTTCTTCTGGATCTATAGAATGAGTAATGTAGAGGAATAAAAAATGTAAATGTATTTACGTCAAGAATTATCTTGATGGATTGAGGTCTATAGCAAAGCAAATTCTCTCGATATAGCGGATTTTTGAAAATTTTGCTCTATTAATTACTCAAATTAATATAAATTATAATTTCCTTTGATGTTTTTGATGATCATCCCCAGTTATTAGATTAATTTTAATTTAATGCCTCATTTCTTTTGAGTCAAGTATTTAATTTCTTATATTCTTCAAGGATTTAATTCTTGAGAAAGATAAAGCACCATATAATTAATAATATGTATTTACTAAGAAGGGCAGTAATAACACATTCTCAATTGGTGAATAGTAGTATTAAAAATCCCGAATTACCAACGAATATCCAAGTTAATTTCAAACATGGACTAGCTTCAATCCGAACCAAACCAGAACAAGTTTTGAATTCACCAATTGTTGATCATGAACTAGATTATGAAAAATTTTTAAATAGTATCAACGAGAAAGATAGTCATAATGAATTTTGTAGAAATTTTGGTATAAAGTTTTCAGATAAAAAACTGATGCATCAGGTTTGCATTCATAAATCTTTTAAGTTGGTTGATCAACCTACAAATGAACGATTAAATTTTCTTGGTGAGTAATATGGGATGTGAATAATTTTATATTATCATTATATTATCATTATATTATCATTATATTATCATTATATTATCATTATATTAAAGTTTTTTATAATATATCTTTATTTGCATAGGTAAAAAGGTGATCGAGTTGTATTCAACTGATTATTTTTTAAAAAAATACGAGGATGAGGATTTGTCAGCAGCTAAATTGAAAGGCATGGTCAGAGAATATACAGATAAAAGTTATATCAAGCTTGGAACTATTGGAATGAAATTGGGATTAAACAAGTTGATGTATTGGACACCACAGGTGAGCATCTATTTCATATTTTGAATTATATTGATTGATAATAATTTGTTTATTAATCTTTATTGTGTTTATTTTTTTAAAGATAAATCATAAAAAATCAAAAAAATCAGAGGGAATTACTAATTTAACATCATCACCACCGGGAGAATTAAAGGTTGTTGGTAAAGTACTTTTAGCATTTGTAGGTGCCATATATCACGATAAGGTATAAAAAGAAATTCTATTATTATTTTTATTATTATTTGAAAAAAATAACTAAAAACTTTCATGCGTTTAAAAGGGAGCCTTGGCAGCAAGGAAATTTATCAATAAAAATATATTAGCAGTAAAAGAAGAAGAAAAATAAAATAGAACTGTATATAATAGAAGTTTACATATCAATTTATCTTTCTTTTTAGATTTTTTTTTTTTACAAAGGTCTCAACAAATTTTCAAAATCTTGAATTGCATCTTTTTCAATTATCAATACTTCATGACCTAAAATATTATAAACCTCGCCCATTTCGAAAATTTCGTTGGCAGTCAAGGCATGAACTTTTTGTAAATTTCTTGAAGCCAAGTCTAATTCCTTTTTATGTTCTCTGGTTAAAAATAAAATGGAATGACCTTCTACTCTATTAATCCTTTGTTGAGCATCATTTCCTTCAGTCTGGTTTTTTCCAAATGGATCCCAGGCATTCTTCTCCAATATTGATAGAAGATCTTTTGTTTTATGTGTTTTCAATTTAATTTTATCAACAATAATAAATTGGTTTTGAGCATACTTTGTTGAGAGAGCTGAACGTACACCTAGGATTTGATTTTATATGATCAATTGATGTTGTAAATAATGACAATTTTAGAACTTGTCTAATTACCTACCTCTTGGCCTAATAATGTAATTATTTTCTGGAATTAAAACATTATTACTAGTAGTAAATTTATCATTATTAATTGATTCCTTAATTTAATAATAAATAAATAAAATAACCAATCAATCAATCAGTCAATTAATCAAAAAAAAATAAAATTTTCAATAAATGTCAATTACTGTTCTCAAAGTTGATAAAAATCTAATATTATTATTAATAATTGTAGTAAATGTAAATAATTTGTTCGTTGTATTATTATCAATTATTATGTTTTTATTATTAAATAAAGATTGTTTAAGAAATGGTTTAATACATGATTTTATCCACATTGGAATTATTAATATTATTATTATTATTTCAAAAAAGAGAAAATTTAATTGATAAGATATACATTGATGATCTGCAACATCAAGATCTAAAATAAAGATATACAGACACAAGTGTTTGTTTATCTTTACGCAACATATTGAAAAAAAAATATAAAAATATATATAAATATGAGTTCTCCTCGTGAACAACTTTTATTCACTTTGTCTGAAGCTGCTTCACAAGAACCAGAACGTATAAAAGGTGCTGAAACGCAACTTAAACAGTGGGAGGTTGCACCAGAGTTTTATTCTACTTTATTGGTAGGAGGGATTTTTTTTAAAAAAAATTGTGAAAATTTAGTTGTAGTTGTCAATACTTTTTATTTTCGCATGTGCTCTTCCTATACATTATTAAAAGAATTTTTCATAAAAATAAATGTTAAAGATTCAATTTCTTAATACTTTAATTTACAAAGTTAAATTTACTGAATATCATTATTGTTATTATTGTTTGAATTTAGGATATAATTTACGATAAATCGATTCATTTAAACGTTCGATTTTTGGGAGTTATCTTTTTTAAGAATGGCGTGGATCGGTATTGGCGTAAAACTGCAAAAAAGTACGTGATAGAAAACTTTGAATTTTACAAATTAATTAATTATAATGATTTTTTTATAGTACAATAAACCCCCAAGAAAAAGCTAAAATAAGAAGTAGGATTTTATCTTTTATGGATGAAGAACATAATCAGGTATAATGATAATTATTATCATAATAATTATATAATAATGGTATTATTATTAATTACATAAATCCATATATTCATTTATATTTTCAATGTTAATATTAACATTAGTTAGCAACTCAAAATGCCGTTTTGGTCTCAAAAATTGCAAGATTTGATTTTCCAAATGAATGGTTAATATATTATTTGGTTTATGCTTGATTTTTTTAAAAAGTCTATTGTTTATTTTCAATTCGATCCTCTTAACTTTAGGCCAGATTTACTTCGAAATTTATTATCCATCATTCATTCAACTATTAATTCCACGGGTGATTCTCAACAGATATTGATCCAAAAAAGAGCATTGTTAACTTTACATTTAGTAGTTAAAGCATTATGTTCAAAAACTTTTGGTCCTGATCGAAAAATGATGGAACAGGTATTGTTTACATATACATATATATTAATATAATTTTTTCTTCTTAACAGCAAATATTAATTACGAATATTTTTTTACCAAAAAAAAAAAAGATTGCACCAGAATTACTTCGTAATGTGGCCAATATATACGTAGAGCATGTAAATCGATTTTTCAATATTGTTTCTTCTTCAAATAATATTCTTGGCAATAATAAGGATTTAGAAACTTCGCTTTCTGCTTTGAAATGCATAAGGCGATTGATTGTACATGGCTTTCATGATATAAGTAAAGCAGACGAAGTAAAGGTGATTGATTTTTGATTTTTTGAAAAAAAAAATAATTTATCACAAGAAATATTTTTCTAGTGCTAATTAACTTTTTTATTTTTTTTAAAGTCGTCTTTTCCATTATTATTAGAACATTTACAAAAATTTTATACATTAAGTATGTCTTATTCCAAATTTTTGAAAAAAAATGTAAGAAAAAGGTTTTATTTAATTAATAATAATAGATCAATATCGATAAAAAAATCATTTTTAATATATATTATTATAGGAAACAACTTACAGGATGAACCATCACAAATATTTGAACTTGTAAAATCTCATATTAATCTAATTGGAAAATTTTTTATCGATCTTCAAAAATCTCATCCAATTTCCTTTGCGTTAATACCCGAATCTTTTGATATTGTGTTATATTATTGGCAATTATTAGTTTTTCATGCAAAATCATATGAATCAGGTACTATTACAAAAAAATTATTTTGAATAATAATAATAATGTTGTTGTTGTTGTTGTTGTTGTTGTTGTTGTTGTTAATCTTTATTGAATTCTTAATTAAATCTAATTATAATTATCATAAATTCGTTAATGAAAAGATATTTTATCCAGATCACCAGGTTTAGAGAAAATATTGGTTCAAGGTTTATTACTTTTGAAAGGCATAATAAAAAAATCATCTTATAATCAGGACCTAAGAGGTAATGTGAATAAATGGTAGTATTATGCGATTCATTTATATATTTATAAATAGTTATATTTTTTTTAATAATAGAATCAAAAGATTCTAGGATATCTGAAGCCATTCAATCTGTTGAGAAACATTTATTAACTCCACCATTTGTAGAATCATGCTGTGAATTGTTAGTATCTAATTTAATTGTTTTGAGAAAAGGGGATTTAACTATGTGGGAAGATGATCCGGAAGGTTGGGTTAATTTTGACGAAAATGATCATTGGGAATATCAATTAAGAGTAGGTTATAATAATATCTGTTTATGAATGTATGTATAATACACATATTTGACGTGTTTATTTTATATATATATATATATATAGCCTTGTGCAGAAAGAGTTTTTATGGATCTTTTATCACAATATCGTGACCCATTATCAACAAGAATTTTAAGTATGCTTGAAACTGTTGCATGTAAGTAATAAAAAATTTTTTAAAATAAAAAATAGTAATTATGTGATTAATAACAATTAACGATGATTTTCTTAAACATATAAATTTATGTTGCGGATTAAATAAAAGTGCCACGTCTGATTAATGTTAATAATGTTCTTTTTAAAAGGAAAAAATTTTTTTTTTACTAATCAATACAATTTTATAATACAATTATTATATTTAAAAGCTATCCATATGAATGATTTGTTATTTAAAGACGCAGTGTACTGTGCAATCGGGCTTGGTGCGCACGAATTGTATGATGTGCTTGATTTTGATTCATGGCTTGTAAATAATTTGTTAATTGAAGCAGCAAATGACGTTCCTAGGTAATTGATTGATTGATTATTTCTGATATATCCAAATAATCAATGTAATTTACTGTAATAAATGAATAGTTAATAAAGATATATTGTTATTATTAATTTTTAGTTTTAAAATAATTCGTCGTCGTATAGCGTGGTTGATTGGGCGATGGGTATGTGTTAAATTATCTAAAGAAAATCGACCAAAAGTATATGATGTGATGACGTATTTAATGAGACCTGAAGAAGATTTAGTTGTTAGAATGACTGCAGCTATTAATTTAAAAGAATATATCCTTACTTTTGAAGTAAAAGAAAATAAAAATTTTATCAATCGATAAATACTGTTATATTATTTGACGTCCTTAATTCTATTCTTTACGTGTTGGCGAATGGGATTTTGATTCTGACGCATTTGTTCCGTATCTTGATCGAGCAATTACACTTTTAACAAATATGATCGGTGAGGTGGAACAATTTGATACCAGAATGAAAATTTTAAATTGTCTTTCTCAGATTGTTGAAAGAATGGAATTACTAGTATTTGTTTTTATTTTATTTCATTTTATTTTATATTATTTTTTTTCGAGTTTATAAAATAAATTATCTTATAGATATTTTATTTGACATAGATTGCTCCATTTGCCGAAAAGATTACCAATTTACTTCCACCCATGTGGCAAGCTGCTCATAATGAACATTTGTTCAAACCTGCTATTCTTGTAATTTTGACAAAACTAGTTGAAGTAAGTTGTTATTTATATGTTCACATGTTTGTATACAATTCTTTCATTAGTACCAAATTTTTTAATATTAATTTTTTAAATAAAAATAATTTAAAAAGGCTTTATCAGACCAATCTTCCAAGCTTCATGAATTTATAATTCCGATAATTCAATACAGTGTCGACCCTAATACTGTATGTAGAGTTATTTATTAGTTACTATGTAGTGATGAATGAATTATTTAGAATAATGATAACACTTATTAATTAATCAAATAGGAAGAACATGTTTATCTTTTAGAAGATGCATTAGATCTTTGGTTGGCAACATTACAAAATGTCACGGAGTGCACACAATCTTTGTTTAGTCTTGTTCCATTAACAATCACATTATTGGAATTTGGATCTGAAACATTAAAGAAAGTTCTTAGAATAATTGAAAGTTATATTGTTTTAGTACCTGATTTATCAATTCAGGTTATTATCTTTATTTTTACTGTTTTTGGAAGTTAAATTAGAAAATTAATTTAAATAATCCATTTATATTTAAAATCCGTCTATAATCTAGACATATGCACATCCAATATTAGATGCTTTTGCTAGGATGTTGGGCGATTTAAAACCTGAGGCCTGTCGCTCTATTATTCATGTATTAGATACAATCTTGCAATGTTGTTCAATACAGGTTTTAGGTGAATCAATAATTGGTTCGGGTCTATTATGGAAATTATTAAATACTATGCTTTCTGGAAACGAAGTATTTCATATAATCATATTTATTTCCCTACTTTATATATTTGTATATAATGTTATAAACATTTATTTATTTTTCCATTAGGAGTATCCTTATGTTATGGTCAGTTATATTTCAATCCTTGCAAGAATGGTGATTAATAACCTTGAAACATTTTTTCAATTTATCAATGTAGCTGCACAACAATATAATTTGATTCAATCAGATATATTAAGTAAATTATTAGAAATTTGGTTGGATAAGGTAATCTTGTATGCAAATTGTAATTATAATTATATTATATGACGATTTATTAAAATGTACAATAATTTTCAAGTTTGATAATATTGGACATCCAAAACAAAGAAAGTTGAATGCAATGGCATTTGCTGCATTAATTGCAACGGATAACCCAGCGATATTAAAATGTTTACAACAATTTATTGGTGTGTGGTGTGATGTACTAAGTGAAGTTAAAGAGTCTGGCGGTGGAGAGTAAGTTTCTGTCCTTTATTTGTTGATAAATTATTAAAAAAATTTTGCAATTTCATTTATCATAATTATTTTTTAGTGCATTGGTCTATTGGCAAGAAGATTCAGGTGAAGATGAAGAATTTACTATACCTGAAGCAAAAAGGAAAAGAATAGTGAGTAGTAT